GTTTGGGCTTTTGAAACATTTGATAAATTATATAATCCAACTACTCAAACCGTTGAAACGATTAATAATAAAGGGTTTTCAACTTATAGAATATTTAATTTAAGCACAAGCACAAATACAACTTTATATGGAACAAAGATTTTTAAAGACGGCAGTTTAATTAAAGCTATTCGACATACTATGCAGCCAAGTATAGGTTATAGTTTTACTCCCGATTTTTCATCAGAAAGCTGGGGATATTACAAAACATATAGAGATGCAGGTGGGAGATTACAATCTTATACTCCTTTTGAAAATACTGTATATGGAGCTCCATCAAAGGGATTAAGTAGTTCTGTAAATTTTAGTTTGCAAAATAATTTAGAAATGAAAGTTCGGAATAAGAAAGATTCTTTAGGTTTTAGAAAAATAAAATTATTTGAAAGTTTAAGTTTTTCTACATCTTATAATATGGTTGCAGACTCATTAAAATGGAGCCCTATAAGCATAAATGGCTCTATACCGTTTTTTAAAGATAAGGTAAGATTAAATTTTGTCGGCTCTGTAGATCCATATAAAATTGTTTTTCTTAATGAGAATAGCACCTCTGGAATCAGAACAGATAAATATGGATATTTTACTCTTTCTAATTATAGTTTTAATACAAATTTTACACTTAATAATCAATTATTTGGGAAAGCAGAGAATTATGCAGATAAATATGACAGAGTTGGGGAGATAAGATATGAGAAGTATTATTTTGATGACCAAGACTATGCACGTTTCTCTGTACCTTGGAGTTTAAATATCGGGTTAAATTATAATTATTCTAAGGGTACAAATAGAGAAGGCACTACAAATGCATCCATGAGTATGTCTGCAACCATTAGTCCATCGCCTTATTGGTCTATAACGGCTAATACAAATTATGATTTTGAAACAAAAAAACTTGCCTATACCACAATGACTTTTACAAGAGATTTGCGTAGTTTTTCAATTAATTTCTCATGGATTCCGAATGGACCATACAGAACATGGGGGTTTTATATTGGTATAAAGGCTTCAATTCTTAAAGATGCCTTGAAATATGACACTAAGAGCTTTAATCAAAATGCTGGTAAATTTACACAATAATGTCTGATTTTAAGTCCACTCCATATGCATCTTTAAAATTTCCTGAGTTTAAATATTTTTTAACCATTCGTTTATTTACAACTATTGCTTTTTCAATTCAGTTTTTAGTAGTGGAATGGAAAGTTTATGCCTTAACAAATAATCCACTTCATTTAGGTTTTATAGGTTTAGCTGAAATAATTCCCGCAGTAGGCTTTTCATTTATTTCAGGATATGTTATAGAAAAAAGTGAAAAAAGAAACTCACTTATATATTGTATTATTTCTTCTATAATTATTTCATTATTAATAAGTTATATTTTGAAAGATAATACAATAAAAACTATAGGAGAAACATTATTTTTGATAATTTTATATTCTTTAATTTTTATGTTTGGAGCAGTAAGAGCTTTTTTTACACCATCTCAATTTTCATTATTTTCTTTAATATTACCCAAAAATCTATATCCAAATGGCACGACATGGAGTTCATCAGCATGGCAGATAGGTGCTGTTTTAGGACCAGCTCTTGGTGGTCTGTTATATGGACTAATAAACGCCTCATACACTATTTGGGTGTCAACTTTTTTGTTAATACTTTCATTTTTTGCATTATTAAAAATTGAGCAAAAAGATATTTTTTTTATTCCAAAAGAAAGCATTACTGAAAGTTTAAGTCAAGGATTTAGATTTATTTTAGATAATAAAGTAGTGTTTTCAGCCTTAACCTTAGACTTAATAGCTGTCTTGTTTGGAGGGGCAGTTGCTTTGTTACCGGTGTTCGCAAAAGATATTCTACATACAGATTCATTTGGTTTAGGAGTTTTGAGAGCAGCACCCTCCTTAGGTGCTATCATAACTATGGTTATTATTACTTATTTCCCTATTTTAAAAAATACAGGATATAAATTATTAATATTTGTATTTTTATTTGGAATATCAATAATTGCTTTTGGATTATCAAAGTGGTTTTGGATATCATTTACAATATTAGTATTAAGCGGTATTTTTGATGGAGTGAGCGTGGTAATTAGAAGCACAATATTGCAGGTTTTAACCCCTGATGATATGCGAAGCAGAGTTTCTGCTGTAAATTCTATGTTTGTTGGCAGTAGTAATGAACTCGGTGCCTTTGAAAGTGGAGTAACTGCTAAGCTTATGGGAGCAGTAAATGCTGTTGTTATGGGTGGAATTATTACATTAACAGTTGTAATTTGGACTTATATTACAAAACCTGAATTAAAAAATTATCATATAAATTAATTAAAAAAGATTACTTTTGCAAGATTTTTTAATTTTCTTAAATGGATAGTTCAGTTGTAATACAAATATGTCAATTTGTTTTTTGTTTATCTTTACTTATAATTTTACATGAGTTGGGTCATTATTTTCCAGCAAAATGGTTTAAGACTCGGGTTGAAAAATTTTATTTGTTTTTTGACTGGCCAAGAAAAATAGTTTCTAAAAAAATAGGAGAGACAGAGTGGGGCATCGGAATGATACCTCTGGGCGGTTATGTGAAAATATCTGGTATGATTGATGAAAGTATGGATAAAGAGCAACTTAAACAAGAACCTCAACCTTGGGAGTTTAGAAGTAAAAAACCTTGGCAGAGGCTAATTATTATGCTTGGAGGCGTGACAGTAAATTTTCTTTTAGCATGGTTAATTTTTGCAATGATTTTTACTGTCTGGGGGTTTAAATATATTGATGCAGATGAATATCAAAAAAATGGATTGTATTTCTCAGATGCATGGAAGAAAGCTGGTTTTAAAGATGGAGACAAAATTGTAAGTATTGATGGTGAAAAACAATCAAACCTTAAAAGACAAATAATTGATGTTTTATTAGGGGAAAAAGTTCAGGTTGAAAGAAATGGAAAAATTGAAACAATAAGTTTAACCGATGATAATATAAAATCTATATTAAATGGTACAAAAGGCTCAATGCCATATGTACCTATTGGAACAAAACTTAAAGTTGATTCAATCATAATAGGATCTCCTGCCCATAAGTCTGGTTTAAATAAAGGTGATATTTTATTAACAATTAACGGAGAAAAAAAATCAAACAATCTTGATTTTACTTCTGCCATCAATAAAAATGCTGGTAAAAATGTTGAACTACTTATAAATAGAAATGGGAAAGAGGAGATAATAAATGCTACAATAGGAAAAGATGGTAAATTAGGCTTTCATTTTGAACCTTTTGATAATACAAGTTTTCAAAAAACTACTCAATATAATTTTATAGAAGCCCTACCTAAGGGTTTTAACGAAACAATTCAAAATTTAAACTATCAAATTAAACAATTTAAATTAATTATAAGACCCGAAACAGAGGCATATAAACAAGTTAGCGGTCCTCTTAGGATGTATAAAATATTTACCCCTACTTGGGATTGGGAGCATTTTTGGACAATTACAGCAATATTATCAGTTTGGTTAGCTTTTGTAAATATCCTTCCAATACCTGCTTTAGATGGAGGGCATGCAATGTTTACTATTTACGAAATGATAACAGGCAAAAAGCCTACAGAAAAAACTTTAGAAAGAGCTCAAATGATTGGATTTACAATCGTTGCAGGTCTTATGATATTAGTTTTTGGAAATGATATTTGGCATCTTATTAAAGACTATATTAGTTAATATTAAAGTATATTATTTAACTAACCTTTTAAATAAAAAATATTATTAATTTCGCTTAATATGTCAAAATATGGAAAAAAAATATTCAAATGAAAATATTACTATAACTTGGAAACCGAGTTTATGTATTCATTCAGCAAATTGTTGGAAAGGACTTCATTCCGTTTTTAAACCAAAAGAAAGACCTTGGATAAACATGTCCGGAGCTCCTGATGATGAAATAATTGCTCAAGTAAACAAATGCCCAACACAAGCAATAAGTTTCAATTATAATAATGATATTCAAGAAAAAAATGAATTTTCAGATATTTTAACAGATATAAAACAAGAAAAACCAAAAGTATTAGTTGATGTTTTAAAAAATGGACCAATTATAGTAAAAGGTCATTTTAATTTACATTTGGCTGATGGTTCAAAATCTGAAAAAGAATCAATAGCCTTGTGTAGATGCGGATATTCAAAAAACAAACCTCATTGTGATGGAAGTCATAAGGCTGAGAATTGGCAAGATAATAATTAAAACAACTAATAAATTAAAAGTTTTTTTATGCTATACTTTCTAAAATAAAATTTTTAGTAGAAAAATTTATTAATGTATCTATCAATAATAAAAATCATATGAAAATTCTGAAAAACTTTATAAATATTTTGTATAACTTTGTGAAATAGTAAGAATTTTAAATATATAATCTTATTAGTAACAGTAAAAAAAATAAATTGATGATAGAAAGTGAAAAGGAGAAACATATTGTCATTGTTAAAGAAGTTTTTAAAAAATTTATCCAAGAGAGAGAATTAAGAAATACTCCTGAGAGAATGACTATTTTAGAAGAGATTTATTCCATCGATAAGCATTTTAATGTTGATTGGTTATACGATAGAATGAAAGAAAAGAATTATAGAGTTAGCAGAGCTACCATTTATAATTCAATAGATTTATTAATGGAATGCAAATTAATAAGAAAACATCAATTTAGTAATCAGCAACAAACCTTTTATGAGAAATCATATTTTGATAAGCAACACGATCATATAATATTAATAGATAGTGGTGAAATAATAGAGTTTTGTGACCCTCGCATTCAAACTATTAAAAACACCTTAGAAAATATTTACGGAATAAATATTGAAAGTCATTCGTTATATTTTTATGCTAAAAAGAAAAATAATTAATATAATATTTATCTTTAGATTCGCTCAAAATCAAAAAAGAGCACTAATTTCATTTCTAAGAAATCATTTTTTCTATTGGCATTACGAGTATTCCTTCAGCACCTATTTCTTTTAGTTTGTCGATTATTTCCCAAAATTTATCTTCTTGAATTACGGAATGTAAACTGCTCCAGCCCTCATTTGCTAATGGAAATATTGAGGGACTTTTCATACCTGGTAATATTTGTTTTATTTCTTCTATTTTACTATTTGGAGTATTTAAAACAATATATTTAAACTCCTTTGCATTTCTTACAGCATTTATTCTGAATAATAATTTATCGATAATTGATTGTTTTGTTTCGTTCAGATTTGGATTTGATATTAATACAGCTTGACTTTTCAATACCACCTCTACTTCTTTTAAGCCATTGGTTATCAAAGTACTACCTGAACTAACAATATCAAATATGCAGTCAGCCAGCCCAATTCCTGTTGCTATTTCTACACTTCCTGTTATTTCTTCAATTGAAGCAGTAATATTATTTCTTGTAAGAAAATCTGTCAAAATAGTTGGGTAGGAAGTTGCTATTCTTTTATCCTGAAAATATTTTATTCCTATATATTTTTCATCCTTTGGTATGGCTAAACTCATTTTACAGCTTGAAAAACCTAACTCTTCAACTATATTTACATCTTTATTTTTTTCTAAGACTTCATTTAGCCCCAAAATACCAATATCTGCAACTCCNGCTCTACATACTGAGGAATATCGTCGTCTCTTAAAAAAAGAATTTCAGCAGGAAAGTTTTTTGCTTCTGCTACAAGTTTTCTATCACTGATTGAGAAATTTATTCCAGAATTTTGTAATAATTCAATTGATTTTTCACTTAATCTACCACTTTTTTGAATGGCTATCCTAATATAATTCATTTATTTTTTCATTTTAGTTCTATAACAATCGGGCAATGATCCGAATGCTGTGCTTCAGGTAAAATATACGCTTTTGATAATCTATTTTTTAAGGAATTACTAACTAAACTATAATCAATTCTCCAACCTTTATTATTTTTTCTTGCCCCTGCTCTGTAACTCCACCATGAATAATTATGAGGTTCTGAATTAAAAAATCGGAAAGAATCTATTAATTCACATTCCGTTAAAAATCTTGAAAACCATTCTCTTTCTTGTGGTAAAAAACCAGAAGTGTTTTTATTTCTAATAGGGTCATGAATATCTATGGCTTCATGACATACATTATAATCTCCGCAAATTATTAGATTAGGAATGATTTTTTTTAATTCTTTAATATAAACTAAAAAATCTTCATAAAAGGTTAATTTAAAATCTAATCTATCAATATTTGAAGCCGAAGGTGCATAAAGGCTTATAACTGAAAAATCTTCAAAATCTATTCTTATAACTCTACCTTCGTTATCCATATATTCTATTTGAGCTCCTATTTCTATATTTTTTGGCTCGAATTTTGAAAAAATGGCTACTCCAGAATATCCTTTTTTTTGAGCTGAGTGAATATAATTATAATGGTAACCCAATTCTTTAAAAACATTAATATCTATCTGATTTTCTTCTGCTTTAATTTCTTGAATACAAAAAATATCGGGATTTTCAGCCTTTAACCAATCTGTTAAACCTTTATTTAAAGCCGCTCGAATTCCATTTACATTATAGCTTATTATTTTCACTTCAATTAATTTTCATTTATTCTACTATTTTTTATTTCGTTATAAATTTTAGTATTATATTCTTTTCTTTTTTCAAAAAGAAAAGAAAGAATATAAGTAACAACTAATGCACCAAGAATTTCCATACATATTGTTGTTAAAAATTTAGTAAAAAATTCATTCAATATAGGGTGTTTATCTAAAAAACCAGAATATAAAAGGAACTTTGATATTATTAGAATTGTCATATCCATTAAAAATAAGTAAAAAATATATTTTTTCTCAAAAAGAGTATTATCTTTTAAATATACCAAATATTCTGGATGTTTTTTTAAAAATTCTATTTCTTCTGGTGTAAATTGATTTATTTTTTCTGTTAAAACATCTCTTTTAGATATTTCATCTATTATTTCATCAACATTTTTCTTTTTGAGTTTATTCATTTTCTTGGAGTAGTACTAAACATTAAACTACTATAAGTTTTATCTGTTTATATTTTATTATCAGTGTATCTGTGTCTATTATCGTCATCACAGATACACAAATCTCATCAGTTTATATTTTTATTTTGCGTGAATAATATTAATAATATTATTAATGTTTCATTAAATTATAAAACTCCTTGCAAAATATTTTTAATTCTATTCATAGCTTCTTTCAAATCATCTTCATGAGCGGCGTAAGATAATCTAATACAATTATTATCTCCAAAAGATACTCCACCAACAGTAGCAACATGAGCTTTTTCTAATAAAAACATAGCAAAATCATCACTATTATTTATTTGAACCCCTTGAATTTCCTTTCCAAAATAAGCTGAAATATCTGGAAATATATAGAAAGCTCCAGACGGCTTATTTACTTTAAATCCAGGAATATTTTTTGCTAATTCAATTATTAAATCACGACGTTCATGAAAAGAATCTATCATATAATTGATGACAGAAGGATCTGCCTCAAGTGCTGTTATAGCAGCTTTTTGAGTAATACAATTGGTGCCAGAGGTCATCTGCCCCTGCACTTTATCACAAGCTTTTGATATCCAGAGCGGAGCCCCCATATATCCTAATCTCCAGCCTGTCATAGCAAATGATTTTGATAAACCGTTTATTGTTACAGTTTGATTATATACTTCAGGAAATTGTGCAATGCTTTCGTGCTTACCTCCATAATTAATATATTCATATATTTCATCTGAAATTATAGTAATATTCGGATGTTTAGCAAAAATATTTGCTAATGCTTTTAATTCTTCTTTTGAATATACAGAACCCGTCGGATTGCACGGAGAGCTAAACAAAAAAGCTTTCGTTTTAGGAGTTATTGCTGCCTCTAATTGAGAAGGAGTTATCTTAAAATCATCATCAATAGTTGCTTCAATAATAACATTTTTTCCCCCAACCAAATTTACCATCTCAACATAACTTACCCAGTATGGAGCAGGAACTATAACCTCATCACCATCATTTATTATTGAAAGCAATACATTACTTATAGATTGTTTTCCTCCCGTTGAAACAATTATTTGTTCTGGAGTATAATCTAAATTATTATCTCTCTTAAATTTATTACAAACTGCCTTTCTTAATTCTGGATATCCGGGAACCGGGGTGTATGAATTTACTCCATCATTAATAGCCATTATTGCAGATTCTCTAACAAATTCTGGTATTTCAAAATCGGGCTCTCCTAAGGTAAGTGTTATAATATCAATACCTTGTGCTTTCAATTCTCTTGCTTTGTTTGACATTACAAACGTTTGAGAATATCCTAATCTTTGTAATCTTTCTGACTCTTGATTCATTTCTTTAATTTTTACAGCAAAATTATAATTAATTATTAAATACACTAACTTTATAAAATTAAATTAAATCAATTTTAATCCATATCAAAAATTATATAAAAATAAATTCTTTATTAAATATCGTAACAAAAAGTGTTAATGCAAGATAATTTCAAATTAAGTTGTTGATATTTTAGATAAAATTATTAATTTAAAACCAAATTCAAGGAATAGTTATTTAAATCAGCTATTACTTTGAAGCCTTCCTTTATTTGATAATCAATTATTTTTTTTGCAAGAGTTCTCCTATAGCTTTATCAACAGAATATAAGTATAACCAAACGATAGTAGTCATTTTCGATTCAAATTCTACATCGGTACTTTTCCCACACCAATAATCTACTTGTGTGGTTTTAATAAATCATTTTCGCTAAGTATTTTATGAACTTTACTTTGACTAATCCCAACTTCCTTTGCTATTCGTGCTTGACTCCAATTACTATAACCTCCTTCGGGTTTGCTACAAGCTAATTGTATAACTTTGTTCTTTTGAATTTCCGTTATCACTACTGGTTTTCCTTTTCTGTAAGAATCAGATAAACCTGCCATTCT